ACTTCCAGCGTTAGATTAGAGTAGCAAAATTCAACTGCTCTTAACTCATCCTATAGAATAACATTTATCAGTCATCAGCTCATCATCTGTGTCACCTGTATTGTTACCTGTGTTTGCTTTACTAATTGAGGCGCCATCTTGTGGTTACATAAAAACACAGCAATCCAGGCAACAGAACAGAAAAACTAAAGGCGTCACCTAAACAACAATTCAGTTCAATGTCACCAATTCATAACAGAAGTAACTACTGCACTCAGGTTCAACTCAAGGAGTGAGTAAATGTAAATAATAATAATAATGTAAAAAGGTAAACACAATTTCACAATCAACAAAAAGTAGAATCACAGTTCAGATTCATTCCAATATATAAAAGAAATAAAAGAACTGAAAGTGAAAGTGTTTCTTTACAGCTTATTGCTGTCTGATATCAATGTTGGTCAAAGTCCAGTCCAAAAGCTTAGTGTGTATCCATGTCCGTCCAAGTGTATTCAATGTGTATGTGCTACCCGGGTAGAATGTGTGTGTTTGTTTGTACGCTTGCTCAGATCTTATCTTCAGGAAGATGATGAAGATGGAGAATTCCAGATACTCTCTAACCCTGCCTCGCATCCCACAGGAAACCCAGAATGTAGATCCAGCAACTCAAAAAACCAATTATCTCTCATCAATTACTGTACAGGATCATATCTCTCTTTAACTCAAGTGTAACTTATAACAAAAGCAATGATGAACTATATCCTGAGACCTTAAAAGCTTAGACATCATTGTGTTTTGTTTCCTTTTTTACCCGTATTAATAAATCATGTTACACAACTTATCTCTTATCTCTAATCAATCATGTCTCTCATTCATATTCACCCTTATGTATTTTTAATCATCTCAACATGAACTGAAACACATTATTTATATCAGGAAAAACCCATATGTATACAAATCATGAGCATTAGCCCACATATAGCATATTTTAACTCTGACTTTAACACTGAACATGGCGCCCAGAAATGTAAACATTAGCATTACACTAAAAATAAATGCATTTCTAAAACACAACTCAGCATATTAACTCATTTCAGTGTCTCCATAACATTTACAGTCCAATTGGTTTTTGTTGATAAGAAAATTGCTTAATCATAACCACACAGAAAAATTACATGTCTGCTAGCAACGTAGCATGCTAACTAGTACACTCTCCAGAGTCCTCAATCATATAAACAAAAGAAAGCAAATCCTCCGGTCGCAGCGGTCTGCCAACAACTTCGCTCCAGTACAGACTCATAAACATGAGAACAACAATATTTCTTCCATAAAATGGAATTAACTAACTTCACTCGTGAGTTGTTAGCATCGGGCTTAGCGGAGGTGTTTTTGATCCCAGCATGCAACGCTCACGTCTACTGGATCCATAGTGCGCCCTCTAGCGGCTATTTTAGGCAACTACAGTCATCTTGAAACAGTTTCCCTCATAAATTCAGATATTAAAATCAAACTTATTAACTACAAATAATAGTTGGACTTTCATAATGTATGCTAACTAGCATTAGCAGATTAGAAATATTATATTGAGTCGGCTCTTACCAATTCACCTCCATGTTAAACTGTTTAAAGGTAATACAAATATAATACTGATAATAATAATAGATCATCAATAAGTGAAAATAATGAGCTGTAGCCATCGGCCAATAAGAAGAAGCTCCACTGAACTGAAAGACTATCAGCTGATTAATAATAAGTGCTCCATGTGAAGATGTAAGTCCATTTGTAGAGAATAAGCTCTGTGTATGAGAGCGATGTAATGTCCATGTTTCCATGCTGCTCTGACCCCCCTCCTCCTTTCAGGGTGGAGCCTGCTGGAGTCCGATGGTTGAGACCAGGTCTGAGGAAGTGTAAGTGTGAAAACAAAGCAGCACACATTCAACCATCTTCACACTGTGACATCACTCATTCACAGCTCTGATGTCATCATCAAAGTGTCAATCAATGATCAGATGATAGATCAATAACTGCAGCTGTATTGTGTCTTGTTCTCTCCATCAGATTCCTGTGAACTCACAGTCGACACAAACACAGTGAACAGAAACATCAAACTGTCTGACAACAACAGGGAGATGATTCATGTGAAGGAGGTTCAGTCATATCCTGATCATCCAGACAGATTTGACTACAGGTATCAGCTGCTGTGTAGAAATGGTCTGACTGGTCGCTGTTACTGGGAGGTCGAGTGGAGAGGAAGAGTTTCTATATCAGTGAGTTACAGAGGAATCAGCAGGAGAGGAAACAGTGAAGACTGTGTGTTTGGAGGGAATGATCAGTCCTGGAGTCTGGAGTGTTCTTATGGTGGTTACTCTGTCTGTCACAATAACAGAGATACATTCATCTCCTCCTCCTCCTCCTCCTCCTCCTCCTCCTCCTCCTCCTCCTCCTCCTCCTCCTCCTCCTCCTCCTCCTCCCCCCCCCCTCCCCCTGGTAGAGTAGCAGTGTATGTGGACTGTCCTGCTGGCACTCTGTCCTTCTACACAGTCTCCTCTGACACACTGATCCACCTCCACACCTTCAACACCACATTCACTGAACCTCTTTATCCTGGGTTCTGGTTCGGGTTCAGGTTCTGGTCTGGTTCCTCAGTGTCTCTGTGTCCTCTGTAGGAGGGAGAGAGAAACTTTCTCTCTGCTGACCAGATAGTTCAGTCTGTACAGGATCACACACAGCTGATGTTAGTTAGTACCAACCTGATGTGTTTACTGTAATAGAGGAGGAAGAGGTTGTTAGAACAGATTTATTCAAATATCATTCAGTTGGTTCAAACATTAAAACATTAATGAGAAACAGGACTTTCTGACATTAATGGGTGTCAATCTGGTTAAACTTTAATAAAATGAATAAATCAACTTCAGTCCAGAACTCTTGTGAGTCCGTTTAAGGAATAGATGAGATATAGATTTGATTTGTTTTACAGAAAGAACATAATGGAGAAATATGTATTTTTAATGTATTTCATATTTTATTACAGGGGTGGTATCTATGTAATATCTTCATGTGAACTTATTTCGTTTTATGTGGAATGAGGAATTTATTAGAGTCTGACCGAATGTGTTGTTCAGGGAAGTTTAGTTTCCATAAAAGAGTTGATTTGGGAGAATTACTGTGATCTGAGGTCAGAATTTTCTCAATAAACAACCGAACAGTGACAGTGGTGTTGACCTCAGTTAGGGGGCCGTGTTAATCTTCTCTGTATCGTTCCAATCTTAGTATAAGTGCTACCGGAGAAACACAGCAGGCCCCTGTCTCTGTGGGGGATTTATAGGAGGTCTGTCGGTAGAGAGTCCGGACTCATGGTGCCACTCAGACTCACTTTAGAGGTTTAAAGTGGCTCTAAATGGCTCTCAGACCGCTGATAACAACAGGAATAAGAGGTCTGGCTGTTGTACTGTGAGTCCTGTACCTACTTTCTTCTTTCTTTCTGCCTTTATTTTCACACAAACTGTCAGCTGCAGTTCCATAAACTCACCAGCAGGTGTCAGCCTATGAGCAGTGTATGGGAGGAGCCAGATTATTTTGGCACCTTCTTCTAAATGTTTCAAAGTAGAAAGTTCATTCAAACGTTCAAAGTTCATTCAGCTCTTTTCATATTTTTTATACTGTGTAAACAATTGCAGTTCAAAACTCATGAAACTTTCATCCCCTTGCTCTCTTGAACATAAAAACATAGGAACAATTTGTGTATGAGAGTTAAAAATGCAATTTATTAATTCTTACTTTTAATATGTGTTTGTGAATTTTATTCATTTTCATTCAGTCTGAATTTTATCTCTTTTCATTTACTGTTATTTTGGTTTATTTCCAGTGGAAATTGAGTTTTCTGAACTTTGTCCTTCCGTAGCTCCTTCGTTTGTGTTGTTTGTGTTTAGTCACCCACCCCACACACACTTTTTACTCTGTTTAACCTATTCTATATAGTTTATATTGTTATTGAAATTAAATGTTTTCTGGTAAACTGTAACAGCTCTTTTTGTAATTGTTTTGTTTTTGTAATATGCACATTGAGTTACATATACTCTGTAATGTTTAAATGAATTTATCTATATGTATTTTCAGAAAGATAATGAAATCACACAGTGTTGTTTTGCATTGCTGAGGAAGAAGAGGTGCAGGAAAAAAAGAGCAGAAGGAAATGAATGTGCTATATTGTCTTCTGCAGGAGCAAATAAATGCTGGTTAACACTTCTGTGAGTCGTCCTCTGTTTATGCCCAATCCACACACCTGTTACACATATAAAATAAAAAGTTTCTGAATGACAATCACATTGTAGGAGCGAATTATAAACTCACATATACAGAATGTATGTATAGAAGTTATTGTTTACTTTTACATAGTAATTATCCAAATATTTGAGAGGTTTTATGGCTTTCTTGTTTGTTAATCAGTCAAAGAGAAATTATAATTCAACAAAATACAGATGAACATTAGGTTTGAAGCGTTCCAGCCTTATGGATATGATATTTGCCAACAAGACACATAAGTTTCATAGCAGCGTTAATGGGTCCCTGTCTGTTGCTGTCTGTCTGTCTCTCTGTCAGTCTGCTGTCTGTCTCACTGTCTGTCTGTCTGTCTCTCTGTCTGTCTCTCAGTCAGTCTGCCGTGTCTGCTGTCTGTCTCACTGTTCTTCCCTCTGTCTGTCTGTCTGTCTACCACACTGTGTCTCCACTGAAGGAGCAGCAGCGCCCTCTGCTGTCAGCAAACAGAAGTTAAAGATCTCCCAGCAGCTGGTTGGTTCACACTCAGGTCTGAACCTGGTTCACTTCAGAGACCTGACAGGTTCAGGTTGGCAGAGACAGACAGACACAGACAGACAGACAGACAGACAGACAGACAGACAGACAGACACACAGACAGACAGACAGACAGACACACACACACACACACACACACACACACACACACACACACACACACACACACACACACTCAGCCTCCAATAAAAAGCTCCGGTACAAACAGGAAGTGCTCTTGCATCCACTGTGGCTTTAATGCTGCAGATCCACATCAACAAGCACTGAACTGTGACTCTATGTGAGCTGGAAGCTTTATTATTATTATTATTATTAACTTACAAACAACAGCAACTTCCTCTATGGTTCTTCTTCTTTAATAGTTTGTCTTCTACACAACTAGAAAGCATAAAAAATAATGATGCAAGAGCGCGACAGTCTCCTGGTGGAGAACGTCTACGAACCATAACTTAATGATCCACTTCCTGTCAGTTACAAAGGCAGCGGGAAACTCCAGCGTCTGTACACTTCATGTTTATTCCATACAAAGTTAAAGGTGGAGGGAGTCCAGGCTCGGTTCTCGGACATGTTGAAGTGAAACCAGCAGCGTACAATCAGGTCCGGCCCCCCCGCTGGGCCCGGGAGTGACGGGGAGAGGAGGAGGAAGGGTGGGGTCGTTTCAGGGGCTGATGGGTAAGTGTGGCGGCCGGCCCGTCGACCCAGAAGTCTCTTCGATCTCGGGCTCCTCGGGAGAAGAGGGCGGAGCCTCGACCCGGTCGGGCTCCTTCCTGTCCGGTTCTTGCTGCTCCTGGATCTTCAGGATCAGCTCCTTGATCTCCTCGCGCTTCGTCTTCATCCGTTGCTGCGGAAACCAGTCGGACAGGTTGACGGGCAGGTGGAAGCTGGGAATCGGATTCTGTTTGAGGAGACAAAGGACGGTTTGATCATCAATGTCTGATCAGTAAAGATCAATAAAGATCAATACACACAGTTCAACATCGAAATGAAACACGATGTCTGAGTGTACATGTTGCGCCCCCTAGTGGTCGATCTGAATCAAACATATAAGATATGTTTCAGGTCCTTATATGGACACATCCTGTGAGTTTGGTGAAGATCGGGTCGACAGTTGCTGATCTACGGGTTTTAATGTCGGACGTCAAAAATGTGATTTCATTTAAAATGGTGGAAAATCTTGTGGCGCGCATTGAGGTGGAGCTGAGCGTAAATAACAGCGCCACCATCTGGTTGATTGGGGAAGCACACGCTCATCATTTATAGTTATTGGACCAAGTTTCATGTTTCTATCTCATTCCAGATCAACAACAACAGAGATAATTATAATAATAATATAATTAAAATAATAATAATAATAATAAAATAATAATAAAATAATAATAATATAATTAAAAATAATAATAAAATAATTAAAAATAATAATAAAATAATTAAAAATAATAATAATATAATAAAAAATATAAATAATAATAATAATAAAATAATTAAAAATAATAATATAATTAAAAATAATAATAATAATAATAATAATAATCATCATGATAAACACAGTAAAACAATAAAGTTTCAGCCTGGAGAAAGTAAAGGTTGTTAATTAACGTGTTTGGAGTCGGCGCTCTCACCTCGAAGAAGCTCTCCACGTACTGAAGGATGTAAACGCCGCAGTCGCTGTAGTTGTCCTGCTGAGGAACACGAGGGCTCGAACCCTTCATCACATCCTTCCCAAAGCTCCGCTGAGTCGCTTTACGCACCTCCCACTCCACCTCCAGGTACCTAAAACAAACGCACACTCAGTCTCTCCAGCAGATAACCAGAACCACCAGAACCACCATGAGTCCACCCAGAATACAGTATTCTGATTATTATTGAATCTCTGGACTGAAGTTTAGTTTCTCTCCTGTTTGTTCTTTTACAGTTTAAAGTCACTTTCAGCTGTAAACTTACAATTATAAAGTAATTAAATTCATTTAAGAAATATTTAACGTGTTTTGACACATTGTGATTTATCAATCAGTAATTATATATATATATATATATTTTATCAATATGTCTTCATAATGGCTTCTGTACCTGTTCAGGAAAATCTGATGTGATGCAGAAACAGTAAAAAATGCTCAGAAACTTTAATTCATGCACAAATTTAAAAAGTTGATCCAGAGAAAAACAGTTTGGAAACAAAATATAATCAATCAATCAATCAATCAATCAATCAATCAATCAAAACAACAAATGTTCATGTGATCAATAACAGAGCAACATGGGAACCTTAATGTCAACAAATCAAACACCCAGAGTGAGGAGCTAAAATAGAATTCATTATTTACAGAATATTTGGTCATTTTAATCCATTTCCAGGTTTTCCAGGTTTTCCCAGGACTGCAGAACTGGTCTCTACATGTTTTCCAGGTGTTCCAGGTGTTTTCCAGGATGTGTGGGAATACTCACTCTCTGAGAGTCTTCACCACCGTGGACCGGGCCGGACCTCTCAGGGAGTCCATGATGAGGATGCAGGGTCTGGAGGAGAGAGAGAACAGTCTCAGGTTAACGTCTCGTCGCTGCCACCCGCAGGCCAACAGCCAGAAGTGCATCCACTCACTGTCTGCAGAGGTTCTGTTTGGAGGCCAGAGCGGACGGATCGGAGCCGGGAGCGTCTTCGGTCCCGTCCTCGCTGCACTCGTCCTGGAGACAGTCGGGACATTGAGCCTCATTCAGCCCGTCAACAGACAGACGGGGCGGTTGCGTAACACTGAGCGGTAAAGACAGTACCTGGGTGGAGCTCTGGTCGTCGGAGAACCCGGAGGTGTCCTCGTCTCTTTTGGAACCGTAACAAACACTGATTCTGTGCAACTCACCTGAAAACACCAGAAAAAACAACAATGAAAAACCTCCTGAAGTTCTGGTTCTATCTGCTACAGTATAAACAGGTTTATTTTAATTAACTGTTCCTTAACGAGCTGTAACCGGTGGGATCAGACTGTTTCTGTGTGTGTCTGTGGGCTCGTACGGTCTGATAAATTGAGCCGACGGTTTATTGATCGCTCCAGTGTTTCCACAGAGGATGCTTTGGGATGTGGAGGATCTCCAGGAACCAGAACCAGGATGTGGAACCGGATTAAAGAGCAATCATCAGTTTGAGGTCAGCAGTTAATGTAGATTTCTGTGAGCGGTTGTAAAGACGGTATCTGGATAAACTTAGAAGTAAATTCATTCCTGTGTTTTAAAATAGGAAAGAGGTTAGAAAACACTCACTGTCCAGAACAGAGAAACCAGAGCGTGATTTCTGGCAGGCGAGACAAGTTCAGCTGTGTAAAACCAAACCTAACCACTGGGGGGAAACCTGTTCCACAGATTATATCTGTATATGTATATCACTGTTTCTGAATCCTTTCAAGTTTTAATCTGAATGAAAACAGGTGGAGGAGCAAAGGAAGAGTTCTAATTCAGAATATAAGACTAAGAATTTTAGCGAATGTCGGCAAGATTTACAATAATAATCATTAATAATCTGTCAATGTGGCACCGGTTTATGTCGTAACTGTTGATTCTGAAGTTGTTCTGATCCGTGGGAGGAGTTATAAGATATAATGACTGGAAATGTCGCATTAAATTCCAAGTGGCCGACGTCCTGTTGGAATACAAACAGTCAGTGGGGGCTGCGTCACTCGAATGTTCTGTGGACCGATATCAGATGTAAAAGTTTGGCTCTTGTGACGAATGTATTGAGATTAATGAGTTTTGGAGCATAAACATGCATCAATCACAACTGGCGTTGTCTTTGGTGGAAATGCACTTGTCGTCCTTTGTGTGACTCACTTGTATACTGTTGTCCGTCAGTCTGGCCGTTGCCCACCGCTGCCGGGCCGCTGGAAGCCTCCGTTCTCCCCGCCGTAAGCGCCGCGGTCTCCTTGGCGGGCTCGCCGTCAGTCTGACCTTCTGCGGACGCCTCGGGGGCGCCGGAGGACGGATCGTCCGAGGAGCTGTCCAGCCCGTCTCTGTCCGGGGACAGAGGGCGACAGTGGTCGGGGATGTTCTCCTCTGACGGGGGTTCTTCAGCGGAGGTGGAGGCTGGGAACGGGCCCAGCGGGTTCTGCTCGTACATTGGACCCTTGAGCCCCGGGAAGCAGATCACAGCCAGATACCAGTGAGCTCTGAGGAGAAGGAGAGTTCAGATCAGTTTCAGAGCCAGACACAAACAGACTGAGTGATCGGTCCAACCGGAGACTCACGACTCGTTGATGGGAACAAAGATGAAGTCCTTCTGGAAGAGATCCACGTGCCGGGTCCACGTCTTCACCCTGTTGTGCTTCCGTTTCTGGATTCTGGAAGAGATGAAAGGATTCAGTACTCAGACTCCAGAATGAGAGCTGACGGTTGAACCTGTGCTCAGACTCACGGCAGGTTGGTGGTGTCGGGGACGTTCCTCCGCTCTCGCTGGTTCAGCCTCTTGTAGAAGAAGGAACTGAACACGTGGATTCTTTGTGCGTCTTCTTTTTTCAATTTCTCTAAAACTAAATATCTGATGTGGAGAGAGAAGAGAGAGAGAGGGGCTCATCACACAGAACTTAATATTTATATTGTACCATCACGTCTACAAATGAAGGAACACTTACTTTAAATAAAAGTCTATGATAACGTCGTTAAGGAATTCTCCATCATTAAGGCAGTGGAGGTCCTCATTAGTGACTGAGATGCCACCTTTGGCGGGAGGAGGAGGGTAAACCATTAATCTGGAACAAACATTAAACAACTGTTAGGACAATGTTTCTCTCCAGCTGTTTATTTGTTTGTTTGTTTGTTTGTGTTCAGTGTTCTAATATTCAGTATCGGCACTAACTGTGGAAACCTTTCAGTCACTCACTTGATGATTGGTCCAGAGAAGGTGGGCTGGAGGTCGGTCATGTCCTCCTCGTCTTCTTCAAAGTAGGTGCTGGTCTGCTGGCGGGTGGCCATCCGTGTGCGGACGGGCACAGAGACCGGGCTCACCGGGCCGACCTGCGGGACCTTGGAAACCGGGGAGACGTGGGAGATTTTGGGAGGGGTTTGTATTGGCTTCTCCTGCAGGGAGGGAGGGGTTGTGAGGAAGACAGAAAACACAAACTCATGTTTACAGATGTTGGGATCCAAGGATACCTTTAAATATGAACTTGTTCTTTTGAAGTATTTTTGTTGGACCAAAAGGGATGTTGGGTCTGAATCCTAAGTAGTTTTGGTTTTAAACAGGAAACACACCTGCCAGATAACAGACCCCCGGTGGGTCCCAATGCAGCCAGGGTGTGTCTCAGAGGAACAAACGGCTATTCTCCTTTTTTTTTTTTTTTATTCTTTTTAACCCCTTCTTTTTTTTTAATTTTTTTTTAATTTTTTTTTTTTTTTTTTTTTTCTCCCCCCCCCCCCCCCCCCCCCCCCCCCCCCCCCCCCCCCCCCCCCCCCCCCCCCCCCGGGGGTATTGTTTTTTTTTTTGGGGCGGCCCCCCCCCCCCAAAACACACAAAAAAGGTTTTTGGCGGGGCCAAAAAACCCTTTTTTCCTGCGATACCTGCCCCAGGGACTCGCACAGAGGCTGTTTGGCCTGTGCCGGCTCACAGGCCCTTGTTGTAAGTCATAGAAGACCTTACCTAGTAGTGTATGTTGGTTTTATCAGGTTAATACTTTGATTAAGAGGTTACAGTGCCCTTCCTCTTAAACTTTAATATAAAATAAAAAAAGCCTACATCCCCACAGTAATTACCATTTTTTGCTTGGTTCTGGCTAAAAAACTCTTCCCGGGGTTTCGTCTACTCGATACTATGTTGTTTCGGTCGATCCTAAAAATTTCTAGTACCGATACCCCCCCCTAAATCACACACACACACATATAGTCAGGAAAAGTGATCAAAACTCTGTGTTTTTTTTTTTTTCCTCTCCCCCGCACGTTTTTCCCACTTGTGCTGGGCGATATGGCTGAAAAATGTATTTGAACATTCTAAATAGGGCCGGAAATGAATTTTTTTTTTTTTTAAACCCCCGTTATTTTTTCTATCGTATGATATTGATCACGTGTCTATTGCTCTTGAGGCTCTTAGATAGGTGGCTGTATAAAATAAATGTGTTGTGTTCCAGACTTGCAGGGCCCACGCATTAATCCTATTTCACACCCTGAAACATCTAACGGGCGTGGTCGGTCGAGCTCAAGACATAATGACTTGCGGTTCTGGCTCTGGGTTTTCTTCCTATTTTTCTCTAACACAGTTCAAAAAACGAACATTCCATCAACTATTTTCTACACACACACATCACACACACACACACACGACACACACACACGACACACACACACACACACACACACACACACACACACACACACACACACACACACACACACACACACACACACACACACACACACACACACACACACACACACACACACACACGTTTAGTTCCTTTAAGTTGGATTGTACATTGTGTATTTTTGCTTTTATTATAAAATTTTATTATGTTTGTGTTTATATATGCTGGCCTATTTAATTTCGTATAAGAGTGAGTGATACCAACCTCTTCTATGTAGAACTCAAAAGCTCCCACTTTAGCTATTATTAATCATTGTAATTATTGATTTAATTATTAATCTGATTTCTGAATTAATAGTTAAGTGTAATTTTTATGAGACTGATCAATCGATTGGTTATCGGTCCCTTTATTTTAGGGTGGTGCCCCGAGGAACTTTAATATTGAAGTAATTTTCTATTATCTTTTGATAATTATCATTTTTGATCACCATTAATTGATTAAACTATTACAGTTAGACCACTCTAACACCCTACGTCGTAGAGCCGACACAGACATAAACTGTCACAACTTAACAAATACCTGCAATAATCTTCAGATTCCTGCACCGTTCCCACCAAAATTTCCACCATATTCCAGATAAAAATCACCAAATTCAGAAGCTGCTGTTTGTGTCAGTTAAATAAAAACTCAGTGTGTTGTAACCGTGTCAGACATTGACTCGAGATTTGAACCAGATGAAGAAGACTGTTTTCCACGCTCACCTTCTCCTCCTTCTGTTTGGAGGCCTTGTTGTAGTTGACCAGTCGGATGTTGGCCTCCTCGAAGGGCAGCTTGGCGGGGAAGTTGCTGAGGTTGTTGTTCCGGCCGATCTCGCCCAGAATGTCCTCCAGGATCATCTGCTCCTTCATCGCCAGGCCGTTCTCGAAGATCAAAACGATGTACTTCTCATCCGATTCTGGCGGCAGAACGAGTGTTTCGTTGTTTTCAGCTGGATGATTTCATTATGTTACAGCTGTAACTCCTAACTACGTGATAAATAATGTAGTTATACAGGAGGAAAACTGATTAAAATAAAACACTGCGAAGCAGCGAGAATCATTTTGAACCAGTCTGCAGTAGGGATGCACCGATCCACATTTTTTCACTTCTGATCCGATCCCGATACCCTTTCTGCCCCCTGGCTAAAAAATCCTCGTGCTGTTTCGTGTGGTGCTTTTTTGAATGTTCGATTGCGTTCGTAGTGTTGTACGAAGCGAGGGAGCTTCCGCCTCTCTGAATCACAGCTTTGCTAGCTGGCTGCAAACAGCGGGGGCGTGTCTCATAACTCTGTGTGTCATTGAGCCGAGCCTCTGTTCAGGAAATCTATTCCACAGTTTGCAGCTAGCAGACTGGCCGGCAGGAATCAGCAGACAATGTTAAAGCGCAGACATGGCTCATGGATATCGGAAATCATCGCAGGTTGGATCGGGAAAATCCGATACGTGAATTACGCTGGTATCGGTCCCGATACCGATACTGGATCGGCCCCATCCCTAGTCTAAATGTAAACTGAATTATTTATTAAACAAGAACAGAAACATGAAGCTCAGAATGAGAAGAGATGATTGATTCCAGATTCTGCTATCAGTTCATTTCCTGATTTACTATCACATTAACTATTATACTGACAGTCTACTGACAACATCAGCACATTCATCCAGTACAACTTTAAAACTACTTCATCAGATGTTAATATTTAGTCTTCTAAATGAAATAATTACAACTTGCTCTGATTAATTCAGACACTCTGAGAATCAATAAATATATTATTCAAAAAAAGTAAGACAAAAAAACCTTTATGAATTAAATTTAAGACATATTTTAGGCTCATATTGGTAAATAAAAGTACACAGACGTTTCCGTCCTTCTGAGAAAAGTAAAAAGAGGAAGTTGGACAATGTGTCTGTTACTGATTCCTGAGCTACGTTAGCATATCGCAGATCAACCAAACTCCATTCAGAAAATGTTAGTCTGAATTCAGGACGACGAACATCAACGGTTTATAAATGACGTAGCCCCCGTGGACTCCCTGTATATCACAGTACTTACGGTCCCCGGCGCAGTCGTACCACTGTCCTCCCGTCTCCGTCGACATGTTGAGCTGCGTGCGCAGGCGGACGCACTCCTCCGGGGTCGTCTGGAAGAACAAGACCGGAAGTTTCCGAACGCTGCACCACTCACAGCTGATCAGCTCCGACGCCTGAAAACAAACCTTCTCCATTGTGTTTCGCTCCGGACCTGACGACACACACAGAGCCAAAAAAAAAAAAAAAAAAAAAAAAAAAACAACAGACACACACACACACACACACACACACACACACACACACAGACACACACACACACACACACACACACTCCCACCCACCCACACACCCACACACACACACACACACACACACACACACACACACACACACACACACACACACACACACAAGAGTCAGTCACACACACAGACACACACACACACACACACACACACACACACAGACACACAGACACAGACACACACACACACACACAGACAGACAGACAGACAGACAGACAGACAGACAGACAGACAGACAGACACAGGAGTTAACTGTCATATAGTTGTGTTGTCCCTCCGCAGACGAATGCAGGAGGATGTTTTCAGGGTGATTTAAGTGGTTTTTAAAAGGTATCTGATTCCTAATCTGTGGTTTTATTTTGCAGAAATGACTAAAAGTCACAAAAACTACAATAAAGTAAAAGTTCCTGCCGTGTTTTTAAGCTTCAGATGAATCAGTAATGTTTAAAATGACAGGATACTGTATGTTCAGTCAGCAGTGGCTGCAGAGCGTCACACTGATGTCGGGTTTTATTTACTGAATTCATCGCTGTGTGTTCGTACCTTCAGTTTCCAGCTGGATGCTGTCGATGGAAAACTGAAAAGACAAAGAACAAAGAATGTTAGTTTTTCTGGACTTCATTGCTGGATTTTTAAGATTTTAGTTGGTTTTCTGTCCTCTAAAAGGCAAACTAACTGCACCATGAGGCCGTTCCACCAGTTTTTTTCTCCAGCAAATACCAGTTTTGACTGTTTGTAACTTCTCAAATAAAATCTGCGGTCTTTATTTACCTCAATTTAAAGCTGCAGAAATTTGTTAAGTTTATTCTCGAGCCCAATGAGGTATCTACGTCTCTAGATTTACGATCTGGCTCTTCCTAGAGCGCTGTCTTTAAGACTTGACCGTGGCTGAAAGAAAACAACCTTCCGGAGGAGCTTTATAAACACAGAAACCACCAGTGTAATGAAAAAGAAAGGCTTATTTATTCTAGTGTTTTTATTTATTCTCTCTTTGGACTTTAAGAGCCTGAAGAACTTTTATCTTTATCATATCTCTCGTTTGTCTCGTCTTTTACTGCGAACCAAATCTACTTCTAACATTGAACCTTGTCAATCGAATAACTAGTGAGAAACAAATATTTATATTGTAATAAACTGATGGAGAGAGATGTGTGGGGCCAGTTGTGTTGGTATTTCTGTTACTTTGTTGTCATCAGTACTACAGTGAAAACGTACTTTAAGCTGAATTCACCAAATCAGTGAAATAAATGTGAGAATATTTAGTAAACAAATCATGTAACAGCATATGTTTACAGCCCTGGACCACCAGGTGCTTTTCTACACAATGTTTCTACTACAAGGAGTTTTGAACAGTCTCAGTTTAACTCTGCTGCCTCTATTTGATTCCTAAGGGTCACACTGCAGCTCAGCGCTGAAACTGGCGGCCATATTTCAGTAAGGAAAGAGCGGAAGTACTCACGACGACGGGCTTCGTCACCATCCGGCGTAGAGTTCCCACTCTTACACTCCGACACTCCAGTATAATGCTGTCACACTTGGACACGACTTTGGGTTTCTTCGCCCTCGGTGAGAACTGCTCAGGAGGAGGCTGATTCCCAAACTGCAAAAAGAAATGTAACTGTTAGGGAGAGTGTTTTATTTTACTGTGCATTAACGTTGTAGTTTATTCAGAGGGAAATACAGCAAACAACTCTCGTCCTTTGTGGCTCGGCAGTAATGGATCAATGAGTCAGAGTTTCCATCCCCAGCGAGCTCCCTGAACACCGAGGAACTCTCAATAAAAGACTGCATCAAATATATCAAGCTTCAGATCATTTTACACTCCTTTGTTTTTCTTAAAGCCTGCAGTGTTTCACTCCAGTGCAGCACCTGGTGGCCTAGTTTACTGTGGAAGTATCACACACCCACACCCACACCCAGCAATGATGCCAAAAATGACAATCAATTATTCCCCTTGCATGGGTTTAACTAAAGTAATGAGTATGTACGGTGAAGAAAATACAGACATTTGTGGGTTAAAAGTAAAAAGAGTACAGTGACTGAAGGTTTAACCGACTCTGTTTGGTTTGTTTTTTTGACTTAAAAGTGGACAAAGAAGAAGAGATGTTTTAAAGTTTACATCCACAGTCGTATATTTAACAATTTATTACAAAAAATTATAAATATCGAAATGCATTTCTTTACAGAAACTGTCGTGTGTGGTGGTTTTAAATAAAGATAATAGTCTAAACTTATATTAAAATGTAGAGTTTTTATTTAAACAATAAGCAGCCTTGTGCAAATGTACAATACAATTCAGAAAGGTATTAACATGAAGACCATTGACAGTATATATATATATATATATATATATATATATATATATATATATATATAGGAGCTGTGAAGTGTCTGAAACCTGCAGTATATGTTACAGCCAGCAGGGGGCGCTCCACTGGTTGCAATATAATCAGATACCATTCAGTCTTATGGAGAAATGATTCGACTTCTCAGTTGATTTATTCCCTCCGTAAACAGTCTCCTGATGAGTTTCTGGTCTCAGTCTCTAGTTTCAGTCTTCTTCCATACAGCATGATGTTCATTTAGTAACTGATGGTCCCATTTAGAGTAAAACAGACCATAAAGCAGGGTATGCTTTAGGGCGGGGCTACCTTGTGACTGACAGCTCATTCTCAGTGAGTCCGTCCAGCTCAACGCACCAAACTCAGATCAAACTGTCAAACAGTGCTGATCAGATATGGATCCAGATTCTGTTGTTGACTATTTCTCTCCTCAGATCTGATCACAAAATACATTTTACTGTTTATCTGGAATACCAGATCCTGTGTGAGCAGGAGAGCCGCCAATGAGAGCAGCTCCACTCGCAGTACGTGACCTCCGCTGGCTGCGACAAACCGTCAGGCCGACGACCCTAACGCCAAACTCAAGGCATCAAAGTGGTTCTTCACAGACCAATTGTTAAAGAGATATTAACGGTGTACATTACTGTTTTAAAGCATGTTGTGGCCTCCTTTCTACGGTTTATTGAGGGGTAGCGATGTCTGAAAGTATACTTTACTTATATAGTAAGTAACAGATACGCAGGAGTGAAACTAAACTCTAAACCACAGAGACTCAGTGAAGTACTCACACAGCTTTCCCTCTTGCCGGTAACATTCATTTGAGTCATCAAAAGGTTTGATAACTATGTGAAATGTTTCCAAACCAGAGTAATCTTTTGAGCTACTTCTACTTGTACTTCAGTATTTCCATTGTATGCGACTTTATACTTCCACTACACATTCATACAAGATAAAACTAATAAGTGATGATGTATTGTTATAGATTAGACCCAACAGTAGAAAGTAAGTCCAGTCAGCCGAGTCTCACCTGGTCTTTCATCCGGGCTCTCCGCGGTATCGTGATCTTCATGTTGACGTCTTCGAAGAACTCCATGTTCAGCTCCTCCTGCTCTCCGGCGCTCTTCACTGCAGCCTCCACTCTGCCTCCAGAGGGCGCCGGCGAGGAGTGAGCGGAGTCCGCGGGTCGAGGGGAAACGCTGTCCAGTCGGTTGACGCTTCCCGTGCTGGCGTTGTCGGCGTCCTCCTCATCGTCACTGGACAGGATGACTGGGGAGGAAACATCAACTCTGATTAATAAAGTAAATTTAGGAACCTACATGTTATTCGTGCACTCTCAAAATTTGAAGTTTACGGATTTGGTTAACTTTAAAACATTACAGTTAATGTATAGAGCACATAGTAAAACACTTCCAGACTGTATCCAAGGGTTATTCACAAAGAGGACAAGCACTTGTCCACTGAGGGGAAATTTCATTTTTGAAAGGAAATGGGCAAGAACTAATATGAAAAGTAGATGTGTGTCAGTGTATGGAGTGACGTTATAGAATGATTGTGACACTGAATTGAAAGAAAGTAGAAAATATGGGTTCATTTAAGAAATTATTTAAAACCAAAACATTAGAAAGTTATGTAAGAAGTGAATGTGGGGATTTGTGAATTTCTGAAATCAGATATCTGGATATTTATGTTTTTAGATTGTTATGAGAACTTAAATTGTTTAAATTGTTTAAAAGTCATTGCTACTGACATCAGTTTTGTTTGAAGAAACTGAATTCATGTTTTAAAAAAGGATAGACAAAATAAGCTTAGGCTTCAGTCTACAACCTTTTTCGGGTCAAAGAAAACAAAAGAGAATAAAAGAGAGAATAAATAATTTGTAAGAAACATATAGGGATGAGGAAAGAATGATGATATATTAATTGTTTTGTTTATATATCTTATCACTTTTCTCTTATCTTTTTTTTGTTTGTCTTGTTTTGTTTGTTTTCATTTTTTAAATGATCGGAAAAATAAAACTTACCTACCTATACCTACCTAAATTTAAATAAAATTACAAAAATATCCTGTAGATTTACTGTAAATAATCATAAAGTTACTGCTTATTTAAATATTATTGTTCACAGATATTTACTGTTTATTTAATAGTTTAATCTATTAAACATTAAATTAATCTTTAAAAAAAAGGATTTGTTGTGTAATTTTATTGGATTTGTTTGTTTATTATTGAATATATATTATTGAAATTATTGAAGTTTTCACAACACAAACGTAGAATAAATGTTGTTTATCAGTGTATAAGCATTGGTAAACTGTCCAAATACAGTTGTTATCAGTGTAAACAGCAATAATTACTGTAATCTCACAGATAATAACTTGTATTACAGTTCTATAACTTTTAACATTCACATTAAAATAATAACAATCCAATAATAACAGCACTCTGCTGTAAATGTAAGTCTGATTATTGTATTATAGCAGAGTTCACCTGGATGTATAGATCATTGCATTGGTTTTACAGTGTTAATATCTTTAATTAAACATAAAAAGATTAAAAATTACAGAAGATTGAAGTGTAATTTTTCCACCTGTGATCCTTTGACGTCACATCATTCATCACATCCAAGATTTTTGGATCCAGCAAATTAAAAACACAAACAGGTTTATTATTTAAATAGTTCCAGGTTCTTTTCTGACGAAGATGCTTTGAATATGTTGACACTCTGGAATCTACCTGCATGAACGCTGAGCAGCGGTGGCGTCTGGTAGGTTTGTTTTTATGCCTGCATGGAAACTATTCCACTAATCCGTCTGAGTAATTTACAGTTTACAGAGAAGTTAAATTTTTAGGTTTAATTTAACATATAATTTAATGCATTTTGCATTTTGGGGATTTAATACACATGATCTCACTGATACACTGTGGATTTCAGGTTGTTACTGGACCTCTTTATCCACTGAGCTTCTTTGCTGGTGTTAGTGGAATAATTACTGTATATTCCTTCTATTAGTGCTTGAAAATGGCAATAAAACGCCCTCAGACAGATTTAAAGGTGACAGGTTGTTAATCTCAGCTCCCTCTGTAGTCATTTACAGGCTGATGTGAATCCTCTGACAGTTTGATGGTTGTATTTATTTAGCAGAATAGGAGCTGCTCTCGCTGGACGCTTCAGTTTGGACACTAAGGAGAAATATAAAGGTAAAGACGCAGGAAGGAAGAACATATTTCAGCTTTTCCTCCTCTACATCCTGAAATTTATCATAATTCAACCATAAAATGAGACAAAATTAAAAGATATTTTAACCCTCTTTGTGCAGAAACCCAGATACCTTCAGTCTGAAAACATCTGCACTTCTTTTTACTCACTGGGGTCGTTGAGTTCGTGCTGCCGTGCCGCCGCCGCCCTCTTCCCTTTCGGTGGGTTTCTGGCTCCGCAGCAGCCCGACGTCCCCGCTAACAGAGGGGACCGGCCATTGTTCAGAGGCAGCCCGGTTCCTCTGGTGCTCACGATGCGTATGGGCAGCGTCTCCCCGCGAGGCGCTCTCATGGTCGTGACTGGCTTGTAGAAGTTCTGCTGCAGGCTGTTTGGTCCGGGGGAGGGCTGGGATCGGATGGGGGGTCGGGGTGTCGGGGACGACAGCGTGGCCTGCTGACAGGGAAGCAACGCCGCACCGTTCCCGCAGTTCTGACATTTGCTGCCAACGCCGTCGTCGCTCGGCTTGTTGCACTTCACGCACACCGTCTGGTAGAGCGTCGGCCGGAGAGGCTGCCAATGACAAACACCGGTTAGATTCATGGATCACACTGTTATCACCTGATTAATCAGGGTTCCCGCTCTTCTTATGAAACCATTATCCAGGAGTTTTTTTCAACACTTCAGGTCAGCAGTTGCTCACAAACTCCAGTCTAATATAAAAATAATTATCTGTGCCAGTAGATTACATACAAAGTCAATACGGAGACGACTCGACTGGGCGACAAAAACGCGTGAAATTTGCCTCATTCATCATTTTTGAGTTGAAAATATTGAACTTTTCACAGTGTATTTGCAGGGTTGTATGTGAAGGAGCGAAGAGCTACCTGGTGAGTGTTGAAAATACGTGTCTGTCTACATCCTGATCAACCAAACTCCATTCAGAAAACAACCATTTTAAGAGTTTGTTCTTGGTTTTGCACAAAGAACTCGAAGAAGTAAAATCATAACGTGGAATCATCACAGAAATATCTGTTTATTTCAGACTCACAGCGCCACAGTAAGACAGATTACACTGCTACAGACAGATCGCTGTCAGTCCCTTTCACTCTGCGTCTGTAGTGAACAGACAGACTGACTCACATGGCCCAAATGAAAACCTTTTCCTGTTCCACTTCACGTCGGGTTAAACCACTTTGAGGTTTCGTACCACAGCCACTAACTGCAGAGTACAAACTAAATGTGCACCTATCATTATCATTACTATAACTATTATTATCTGTAGGGGTGTTAATTATTACACATATAAAGGCTTATGCATTTTTATTTTCTCTTTCTGTTTTCTGTAACAATGTTCTGAATGCATTAATGTATTGTATTATATACACACACACACAGCAATACTGTATCTGAGTGTGATAATCATTACAATCATTACACTTTTGATCCTTGAGTAATAATGCAACAGTTTCTTTTAGCTCTGATAAAAAGATAGAAAACTCTTTTCTACTTAAAGAACTACAGTATTAGTTTGACTTTGGTTATTAATTGTCCTGTTGATAACATACGGGACCAGCACATTTCCACGTCCCCTACAGTAACTCCACTCTGGTAGAAGCTGCAGTAACAAACTATTTGTGTAATGATGCTTTTCAGTCACAGTGTCAGTCTGTCTCTAAAGGTCAGCGGCTGATCACAGCGCGTCCTGTCCCAGAGAACAGCTGAATATGAAGCACAACGGGCTCTGGATTAACCCCTCACATCTACAGCAGCTGCAGCGCTGTGAGAGGACAGACAGAGAGACAGAGAGACAGACAGACAGACAGACAGACAGGGAGCTCATACAGCAGCTCGGTAACGAACCCATCGACAGGCTGAGGATGCCGAATCCATTTCTGACAGTTTTGGAACAGGAAATATAAAAAGGGCCTTTTTTTAACTACCGATTTTGATTCATTCTGAGTAGAATTTGAGTTTACTTACATGCTGTTTGCACCATGGGTCCGAGAGATCTGTAATTTCATCTGTGCTGTATGTTGTGCATATAGCATATTCTGACAATAAAGCTGACTTGACTTGAGTTATACATAACAGCAGCACCAGAGACACAGGTCAGTTATACAATGCTGCACAGCAAAGAAATGACAGCGAAATGGAAGAAATTAGAAAGATTTTGTAATGCTTTAAATGTTTAAACTGCTCCCAGTGGGCTGAGTTTGATACATTTTGTATTAATGATATAAATAACGTATCATTAAACTAATTAAACGACATCAGCCCACCGGGAGCTGAAATATGGCCACTTACGGTTCCAAATTTTCAGATTCAGCATCCACAATAACCCCCAAAACCCACTCCTATATTGTCCAAATCGGCAAAACACTTATAATTATTGTCCCCATAGCCGAATATTAATGCTAATTATGCTAATTAACCAACATATGATAGATAGATATCTGTCAGTTTGTAAATTCTGGGGACCCAAACTGAACTTTTCTAACAGAAACCGTTGCTGGCAGATAAACTTCTACAAAGAGACGCTGATGTTGAGTTTGTATCCGTGTACTTCCATTAGTTTTGGGGTGAATTGTCCCTTTAAAGACGTATTATTTGCTCTTTCTGTGGGGCGTCTCTTACCTCTGTTGCTTTGACCTGCAAAGGAAAACTACAGCAGTCCTCTAACGGTTTCCTCTTCTGCTGGACGCGGCGCTTAATGTTCAGGTTCTCCTCCTCTGAAAACAAAAGACAAAAACACGTATTTATTACTTATCATTATTATTATTTAAAAAGGTCCAGTGTGCAGGGTGTAGTTGCAGATCGCTCCCCCCTCCTTTAACGAGGCAGAAACAACGGTGGTCGCCAAACGCAAATGGTCCAATCTAAGTACAAACTGAAGTACATTTAATTTATTGTTTTAGGTATCAGATGGTGACATTTGACTGGTATTAATATCAACTACTTCATTTCTGTTCTGGTGACATTCCTGGATGTTCTTCTACAACCTCTAAATGTGATGTTAGGAGCACAAGGACAATTTTTGTTGTAATCTCTCTGAGCCTTCCCAGCCTCTTCCTCGTCTTTATCTCCCAACACCAAAAATAACAAACGTTTCCTCCAAGGTCGCTCCGATTATTTCGGTATTCGGGGAGTTGTTTTGGTTCCGGAGCCTTTTACCAGCGATTCATAAGCTCTCCTCCCATCGGCCAGCAGCTCTGAGGATTAACGTGGGAGGCCTGAGATCTGCTGGCAGGAGCAGGTCCGGCTCAGACCTGCAGACGCTGCTGGCTCACACACACACACTTTCCACAGAGATACTCATCAGTGCTCATCACACACACACACACACACACACACACACACACACACACACACACACACACACACTTTCCACAGAGATACTCATCAGTGCTCATCACACAGACACACAGACACACAGACACACACACACAGACACACACACCAAAGCCACATCCGAGAAAACCACAGACATTCAGCGGCGTGATCCAGCGCTCTGCTCCAAGCAGGAGGAACACAGTGTGCCTATGTGCAGCCTCTCTCCTCTCACAAACAGAGACTTTAAAAACACGGTGTGACGCGTTGTTGAGCTGTGAACTCTACCTGGGATCTCTGGACAGGTGAGGACGATGCTGTCCACTTCCACAGCTTGCTGCGTGGTGGAGAAGTCGTTTCTGTGGGAGAGAAATATAAAGACAGTGGTCAGTGGAGTCGCTGCGTTAAACAGGTTTTAGATTTAGATCCAACAGCAACTGGAAGCAGGTTTATTATGCCGGCAGGTAACGCGGAAAACTTTACACCTCGCTAAGATTCCTTTAAAAGGGTTTTAGAATTAAAACAAACACAAACTTCTTCCAGATTTGCTCGTTAAATGGAGAAATTCAGCCACCATCTGACTGACTGGTGAGAATTATATTGTTTTTAATGTCAACAGGTCAAAAGACTAAAACCAACAACATGTGATTAATACTTCCTGTCTGTGTCTCTGATTGGTTCCAACTGAAAACGTCTCACAACATCTGCTCGCTGTAGTTTGTAAACAGATGTGACTGCGTACCGGCCGTTAAACGTTAAACAGGAATAAGATCACTTCAGTCAGCTTTTGTTATGAAATGCAGCACATGGAGGTTTTTGTGTTAACAGACTCAACAGATCGGGGTCAAAGGTCGCCGTACAGAGGCACAGAGCTGCAGATATTCCACCACAGCATGAAAACAGAAGAGTGGAGGCCGGCTAATGATCAGCCAGACCGCAGAGATAAGCTGAACTGATACAGAGTGTTTCTCTACAGACGATCAGAGAGGACGACAGACTGAAACCTCTTATAACAATTCAACATGTTCTCTTTGTTTGTGACGATAAAGCTTTAAATGAATCCTGAAGAATGAAGAGTGACAGTTGCGTGGTTCTGTTGCTGGAGGATTTAAATGTGTGTAAAGAGGTTCTCAGGGACACGCTGGGGTCTTGCTTTGTTCTCATTCTCAGGTTGTCGAACACCAGCGCTGATCAGTTGGTTGCAATCTGGAACGTCACTAATAGATGGGACTAAACCCTACACACTGGACCTTTAAAGGACCAGGACCCGGGACGGAGAACGGGCTGTGAACTAATGCCGCCTCCTGATAGTCGACTTCACCATCAGTCAGGGGGAGGTTAAACACTACCAGTGTAGCAGCAGAGGGACCCAGCAGGGAATACTGCACCTTTAACTCACAGGATGAACTCTGTTGAACTCTTTTAAATACTTTTGGCAGCTAGGAAGAGAACTGAGTGCCAACCCTCCGACAACATTTGTCCTTATCTATAGGATGTATCAGCCGTATAGTCACTGACTAGAAGAACACCTGCTTTTACTAACACTTCTATAAACATATATCACATATGATGAAAGGCAACCACACACTGACAGAGTATCACAGAGCGTCGACACAAACAGCAGTGGATGAAACTGTACGTGGATAAAGCGTGAAATGAGAGCCAGTCTGTTGAGACCGGGCAGCTGGATCAAAGTCTTACCTTTCCTTCAGATCGAGGCTGCTTGAAGATAAAAATCAAGAAGAGAAGAAAACGTCTCACTCGTGGAATCAAACCCTGTGTGCCACAATTCACTTTCTACACACTTCACTTAAAGTAATTTCCTCTACAGCCGAATCCACACAGAGGATGAACGTAATGAACCATCAGTTCAATTACTGCTATCTCGTGTGCTTCGTCTCATCCTGTTCAACAGAATACGCTCTGTAATGCAGCTCACACTCATTTAACTCCCTGAAGAATTCAGGTTAATGTGACTGAGGATATAAAGGCTGAACATCTCATCCAACACTTCTGTCCTCTGTAGCCGAGGGTTTCAAACTGAGGAGCGCTTCCCCAGGGTAGAGCTGTACGCTGACCTGGTTCACCTATCAGCACCAATCCACGTTTAGGCTGACGGTATACGGTTCATATGGTATCATTATAGTAAGAAAACAGTTGGTGTTGGAGCTAGTTGGTTAACTCAACACATCCTGAGGTATCATACCAGCAGATATTTTAAATGCATCATATTCTGACAGATATTGTGAAATGATTCATGGTTAGTGTCTGTAACAAATAAACAAACATCTGGAGAACACAATCTGTAGGCCGGGACTTCATAATGCTGTCTGTCTCATTTTAGCTTCATTAAAAAGTTCCTGATGCATTGACCACAATGTCATTTCAATACTATTTTGATTAGCTGTGCAGCCCTGATCGGATCGGAAGTGAAACCAGTGGATCGTCTCAACCTCAGGGGATTGTGGGAGAGTCGAAGTGAGACGTGAGTGAAAGATACTGTGTGACCTTCACTTCCAGAGGATATCATTATCTCCACATTCCTTTATTAATACGTCCATAGACTCCTCATAACACCAGACTTGGCTGAGAATCATCAGGTTCTTAGGTTTTCTTCAGTATCAAAGTGACCCAGTGACAGCAGGTCCTCTTCACAGTGTCCCCACAGCGGACGTACTCAAAGTAACTAACAGTTGAACAATAAACAGGATAATAAAGAGCTCAGGTTGTAGCCCACAGCCGAACTCACTGAACATTATCCTCCTGCTTTAAGTAGGTTTTGTCTCTGGAATAAAGAAGTGTAACAGAGAGGAGGAAGACGGAGACGGACTTTAAAGGCGTCTCACCTTTGGACTGGTTTCCTTATTGCGGAGGGCATCTGTGCGTGCTGGAAGTGTCGCCCCTGTAGAACGATTCCCTGCGACGGTGCGGGACTGATGATGAAGTAGTTGGTTCTGTTGGGGATCGGGGAGGACGTTGCTACTGAGAGAGGGACCTCGCTGCGGGACAGACGTTTACAGCGTAAACACAAACACATCATAAGAACAGGTTACAGCGGACCAGAATGCTGACTAATCAAATGTTTAGGGTTTAAATATTATCTTAATTCACCTTTTAAATAACTTTTTATAACATGTGTTTAATGATTTTATTCTATTTATTCACTGTCTGCTTCAATATCCTGTTGATTCATTGTTGATTACAGACTGTAAAGTCACTCTGAAGTGTGTTTTAGGACATTAGTTCCCAACCTTTTTCCTTTAGGGACTCCTTTCTAATCATTTAGTAAACTGACGACCTCCTTTACTGACATATTTTATAGAAAAAATGTATTTCAACAGATTCAGTGTTTTCTTGTCGTTGATGCTTTGTTCTATTACGTTTCTTCACAGAAACAAAGTAAATGCTGAGATAGATATCAGCCGGCTGTGTGAATGTTTACAGTTTGTATCAAACCTTAAAATCAAGAACTCTCGTAAACCTAAATAACTTTTATTTAAATGAAGTTATTATTGTATTTATTTGGCTGTTTCCATATAATTCACATCACTGGGTTCACAGGAAACTCTGATAAAGAGACAAAATGGAAAAAAAAGGTTTAAACATTTTGTCAAAGATTAATAAATAATAACCTATATTTTAGTAAGTAAGTTCCTTAAGTCTTTAAACTGTAGATTCATTATTATTGATTGTGCTGTCGGGTATAAAGTGAACTGAAACTTCTCACAAAAATATGAATTTGTGATCTAAAAGCAGAAGTTTCTCCTCATTTAACATCACAGCAGAGTTTTCTTTATTCCAAACCACCTGGAAATAATCTGAGGTCAAACTGCTGCGCTGTAAACAGGAAGTGCCGCGCTGTAAACAGGAAGTGCCGCGCTGTAAACAGGAAGTGCCGCGCTGTAAACAGGAAGTGCCGCACTGTAAACAGGAAGTGTACCTGAGCCTTTTGGGTGCCAGCTTGCTCAGAGGCCTCGTGTGATTGTTGGACCGGTTCTCGTACGTTCTCAGCGGATCCGAGGGAGTGAAGTGTCTCAGAGAGGGAGACTGAGGAGGGAACACCTTCATTAAAGTCAATAAAGACAGACAGACAGACAGAGACAGACAGACACATCGCTCTGCAGCGACAGACAGACTGCTGCACCGTTTGGGCAGATCGGGAGCCCCACTGCATGCTGGGAGCCCGTCGATGTGAGATGTGGTGAGGTTTTACCTTTTTCTCGTCGGGGGAGGTCGGCTGCTGCCTGTCCATCTCCTCCACGCTCACCACGCTCTCACTGAGAGGAAACAAAGAGGACGTTACTGTCTGTCTGTCTGTCTGTCTGTGTGTCTGTCTGTGTGTCTGTCTGTTTGTCTGTCTGTCTGTTTGTCTGTCTGTCTGTCTGTTTGTCTGTCTCTGTGTGTGTCTGTCTGTCTGTGTCTGTATATAAAATTATAATAATAACATAGTAATATTACGACTTTATTCTCGTAATGTTACGACTTTATTCTCACAATGTTACGACTTTATTCTCACAATGTTACGACTTTATTCACAATGTACGACTTTATTCTCACAATGTTACGACTTTATTCTCACAATGTTACGACTTTATTCTCACAATGTTACGACTTTATTTTTCCCCCCCAAAAATAATAAATGTCTCTCAGTCTGGCCCTAACACTCAGTCGCGGGACGGAGAGCAGTGTGGTGGGAAAGTGATGCAGTGCAGCGCCGGCGGTGGAAACGAGGGCCGGAGAAAGTGCTTACTCATGTCTCCGCTCCTCTTCACTGTCACCAGAGAGAGAAAAGCTCCAGTTGTGCTTGAACCCTCCATCCCGCCTGGTCTCTGAGCGGTCCAGAGCTGGGATGGAATAATAAACTCACATCAGAGCAGAGACACAACACAGAGAGCCAGCAGCTTTAATTTAACTAATATTCACTGTATGAAATGTCACTGCAGCAGAGTTTCATCAACACATTCTGCTGATTCTTTAACTTAAAGACAATAAACACAAACAGATAAAGGTTATAATTACACCACCATGTATTATAATGTGTAACATCTGTCTGTATACGAGCACTGCACATCTGTACAGTTATTAATGGTTTTAACTTCAGAACAACTGGAAACAGTTAGTGTGTGAGCAGCGTAGAGCCGACACCTTCTGATCGATCAATACGTTCACATCAGACGATCGCTGGTGTTTGATAAGGAGGAAAGTGTCTTACTCCTTTATTCTCAGGGGCCCGAGGGACGGACGCAGACCTGATACACTAATATTGATTATTAGAGGTGTGAAGAAGAAATGTCACATCGTTGAGACTTTAATAGTTTTTCTGACCCAAAACCGATCATTCCCACATTCATAATAAATAATAAATAACTTTAATTAATACAAAGGATCCTCTGGGGAACCACCCTTAAAGAAGGGAAACTAATAATTGATTGATTCAGTCTTGTAAACTATTAATTTGGAAATCAGATTAAATATTAAATGAAAAATTACTAACTAACCAAAATTACCAAACAATCGATCAAATCAATCAGATTGATCACTCGAGGGCTGAACAGACCAAGTAAAATCAGAGTAATATTGATATTACAATAAATCAACGAGGAAGGCACTAGAACACACCTCAACTATCCTCAATAACTCACCAAGTTAATCCTTAAAACCTCAGTTTGCTATTTTCTGACTACGATCTCTCCTGTAAAGCTTTAAAACCTCTAACAAATCACAAAGCAGAGGCTTTAAATCCAGAAAGCTTTCAGTCTGTAAAGTATTTGATATATTTAATAAATATACTTTTTATGTTAGATGACGTATTCTCTGCCTCAGCTTCACCGGACCAAAACCTCACCGACATAATCGAGTTATCCATCTGGCTGGAAGCCCGGCAGGTAAATACGACCTCAACCTCGCCGTTTCTTACGAGAATCGCTCAGCGTCATTTCACACACACACACACACACACACACACACACACACACACACACACACACACACACACACAAAGTTGCTAAAAATACCCTACAAACAACCTTAAAAAGTGTTTTTCTGTCCCTGCAAACCAAATTCAGAGGCCCATTTCCTCTCCTGGTCTCACACTTAATGCCTCTGGCCTCTCTGTGACGGGGGGGGACAAAAAGTGAATAATCCATTTATGGGCCTTTTTAAATGACAAGAAAAATCATCTTCAGAAGTACAAACGTCCATTAGATCCAGATCCCGGAGCAGTTCTGCTTCCACATTAAAAACCTCTTCCAGCAAACACACCGGCTCCATTCTCATCAATCACAACAAATGCCCCGATACTGTTAGTGAGGGGGCATTTAGCCTCCTACTGAGCTTCAGCATTCGTTTAGTCTAACAGCAGGGGGGGCTCTGACGACAGCTACTCCCGCACAGACTGCTGAGCTTCGTTACATCGTCCCCTCGTTTCCTGTCGTCTCTCAGCTACATAATAATAATAATAATAATAATAATAAAGTAACTAAAGCTGTAATCTGTAGCACATCCTCATTAAACAGTGTATAACCTCTGGCTCTATGTTCTATATGTAGTTGAGTTCTTACTTTATCCCAAATGTTTCCAACAATGTTCAAACTCAAATCAAATGCACAGAGAGGAGCAGATAAAAAGAGTACACCTAAGAGACAGTACTGTCCTCGTCAGAATTAAAAGCTAATCTAAAAAAGTGGGTCTTAAGCTTCGATTTAAAAAGGCTGAGATCAGTAGTGGTGTGAATGTCAGGGGGCAGTTTGTTCCACAGTCTGGGAGCAGCGACGGCAAAAGAACGATCGCCCCACTGTTTAAGTCTGGACCTAGGGACCTCTAACAGAAGCTGACCCGAAGAGCACCGGGCTCTGCCACAAGTGCGAAAAGTTAAAATCTCTGACCAGTAAGAGGGGGCCGAGCCATTAATGGTGTTAAAAACAAACAAACAGAAGTTTAAAATCAATTCTAAAACGGACTGGAAGCCAGTGGAGTGACGACAGCACAGGAGTAATGTGTTCGCGTCTGGACGTGCTTGTTAAAAATCAGCAGCAGCGTTCTGCACGAGTTGGAGACGATAAATTGAGGACTGACTGAGGCCGACGTAAAGAACACTACAGTAGTCCATCTCGAACCAAAACATGGATTGTCTTCTCGAGATCCTGCCGACTGAGAAAAGACTTCACTCTGGTTAAAAGACGGAGCTGAAGAAAGCTCGTACTGACAACAGAGCGAATCTGTTTGTCAAATTTAATCCCAGTATCAAATGTTTCCAACAACGTTCAAACTCAGAGAAATCTGTGATTGTATTCAGGTAACGCTGCGTTTCACCGGTCGCCTGTCGATGGCGTCATATCCCCTTTGTGCCTGCGTCAGCGTTGTGGTTGTCTGTCAGAAGCTGTCACACATTGACTGTTGATCCAGTGTGAAGCCACATTGTTACCATCCACTGTTTAGATCTCGGTGCTGTTTAACTCTAGATTCACTCTGTGGATCAATCGACTCCCGGTAGAAACCTCCTGAACACTGAGGGAATCCTAACCGGGAGAAACTGCAATGGTGGTGAAGACAACAACTCCCATGATCCCGCGCTGCACACGGGTCCAGTATGTGACAGTGAGGAGACATCTTGTGCACAGATTGTTGGACTGATCGATAAAAACGTCACATTGATTACTGAGACAGATATTGATCAGATATCAGAGAGGTATTGATCAGTGCTCAATACGGAGCCGTTATTAGAGCTTTATTATTATTTACTCTATCATTGTCTGTCCCTCACACAGGCAGAAATAAGATGAATTACAGCGGTTGCCTCTTCGTGCCCCTGAGCAAGGCAGCAGTGCCACAGTTAACCTGTAGGAAGCTTTAATGACGTTTAATATCATTTATTTAGTGTATTTCAGTGTCCAGTGTTTCTAATGAGACTGTGACACTCACAGGAACATGAACTCCAGCCTGAGTAAAGACACACTGACAGCGGGAAACTCTGTTTACTACAATTCACCATTTCTGCTAGCTAGCTCACATTGTGAAGCTATGAGGCTATCATGGAGCCAGCAGCAGTGAACACGCTGTTTCTGTTCATTAATACAGTGTTTATGTGTTTATTGATAAAGTGTGTTCATCAATAAAGTGTTTATGTGTCTATTAATAAAGTGTTTATGTGTTTTTATGAGCTGTATGAAGCGTTATGTGGCAGCTAGCCGCCGAGCAGGAGGAAGGAAGGCCTCTCTGAGCTAGCGACGAAGCTAACGACGAAGCTAACGATGCTAGCTGCAGGCTCCAGGAACCGGACCGCCCCCCGCTGCCTCAGCCCCTCCAGGCCGGAGATGTGGCACTGTCACCGGCCTGGCAGCGCTGGTCGCCGGGCCGCTGTGTGCGGGGGAACCGGCCGCTGTGTGTGCGGGGAACCGGCCGCTGTGTGCGGGGGAACCGGGCCGCTGTGTGCGGGGGAACCGGCCGCTGTGTGCGGGGGAACCGGGCCGCTGTGTGCGGGGGTTCCGGGCCGCTGTGTGCGGGGTTCCGGGCCGCTGTGTGCGGGGGTTCCGGGGCTTACCTTCGAAGAAACAGCGTCTGTTGTGGGCCATGTTTATTCCATGATCCGGCTCGGTTCGGTCTGTTAGCTGCTACCGACCCGCTGACAGGAAAGTTACCGCGAAAATACGCCACGCTGCCGGAAGTCGGGGCTCGCCTTCAAAATAAAAGTTTGTGTGAGTTATTTTTCTCCATGTGACGTCATTTTAACCCTTTAACAATGAGTATATAAATATATAAATATATGAACAAAAACTCAATTTATTTGTATTTTTATATTAAAATCCAATAATGTTGTCTATATATAAAATACTTTATATTTTATTTTTAATTCTAACTTTAAAGGGACATTGTGTAGTGTTTTAATGTCTTCATTCATAAATGTGTCACAATGATCTGACTTATCCTCGTAAGTGAAGAATTTCTTATCTGTATAAACATTGGACGGGCAAGTCCATGGAGGCTTCCATGTCGTTCCACCAGTTTGAAAAACTATAATCACCGAGAGGAACATAAAGCACTAGCCTACCTGTCTCACTAATCCACAACGCGTTCTCGTTCAGAGCCAGCGTCACGTGACTGAAACCAGCTATAACGGAGAAGGAGATCAGTGAGAGGCACATTTGAAAGTCTGCACTGCACTTTAGTTAATAATGGAGGATCATACTTATGGCGAGCCACAGGAGAAGGAATCCTCGTCACCAACAAAGCCAAAAAGGGAATTAAAAAGGCAACGTGACCGGCAAATTCAAAAAACGAGGGTAAACATCGGGGTAGCTTTTCCCAGATGGAAAGAGTTAATGAAGGAGAAAGACTTTCAAAGGGACGCTGAAGTTGCCTGCTTTCTCCTCCACAGGTAGGCTTCTTGGTACATAACAGCTACCGTAGTTGCAATACGCATTTGAAAACGCGAGGCACTAGAGAGCACTATTCGTTTGAATGCAAAATACAATTTCACCACTAGATGGGAGAAATTCCTACACAATGTCCCTTTAATGTTAGTTAAATGTTAGTTTGTTTTTAATTTTAATTTTAGTTTAATGTATGTTTTGTAATTAGTATGCTACTTTAATTTCCCTCAAGATAAATAAAGTATCTATCTTCCTGTAAAACTAAAGGAGACGTACGTCAGCATGAACTAACAGATTTAAACCAATAATAGTGATATATGACATCACCTGTTAATCAATCTTTAACTTTTAACTGACTATATGTATATATATATATACATACATATATATATGTATATATATATATATATGTATATATATATGTATATATGGGCTTTCAGGGGAGATCACTTCTGTATATATTCTGATCTGAAGTTAATGATAGTGTGCTTCAGTGACGATGGCAAGAGCAGCATTATCCTTTTTAAAGTGAATGAGTGATGAATCTCCCTCGTGCACGACTCATACATCAATAATAAGTTCACACATAATCCAAAAATAGAAACGCATGGTAAAAACAGCACATGGCAATCCCTCCAGAACAGTTAACACAAATTCAATCGATCCCTCTCTAACTGGAAGTTGCCTTCAATTTTTTATGAATTATTTTACTTTCTCCTGCAACAATCCCAAAAAAAGCCCTAAAAGAGCCTTGAAGTTTGATATTATCAATATTTTAGATAAATATCCTGTTTTCAGAGGAGTTAATGTGTTATTAAGAAACTCTTCCAGTATTTTACACCCTGTTGTTAATGGAGAGAATATTTTCCCTCTGACGTCCTCCAGCTGCTCCACTCAACAGACACTTAAAAAAACCATTAAATGACATAATACAAGTGGTGAGTTCAGGATATTGACAACATGCAACCTGTTCACTGGTGACCTCCGCCCTGGTTCTACAGCAGAAAAGTAGCTTTATATTTGGTCCTATATGTGTATTGTTAAATAAAATAAAATAAACATGCAGAATGAATTCAGCAAAATAGGAAATTATCTTGGCATCTAAAAGAAAGTATAATTAAAAACACTAAATAAAATGTAATTGTGACTTAATTAATTTACAGGTTTATTCCTGCTAACACACATCATATATCCCTGTTTTATTTTGAAGGTTCCCTCCGGAAGTCAGTGTTAGTGTCTGTGCCGCTGTTAACCCACTAACCTACAGTTCTGTCACAATGCTGGAGTTTGTAAATGTCAACTTCTTATTCTGCTGTTAATCTCATTAAAGAAGATCACAGATGTTTTATTATATATTAATTAAATATTCAAACATGTGACAGGAAGTAAAATAAAGTCATTATAAAGTCACAGCTGAGGATAAATCAGTAAAATAAATATTACAAGAGATTATAAAACAAACATACATTTTTAAATCCCAACAGTAATAATTTATTTGTGATTATTTGTCCCACAGCAGCATCATATTATAATCAGATATATTGATTGAATTAATGACGATAGGAGCTAGATGGCGATATTCAATCAATGATCACGATCAGTGTCACTGTGATCCTCTGCAGTCACTTTATTATAAACCGTCATACAACAATAATGTTGTTTTTTTAAACAATCTTTGACATTTTGTGATGATCAGATGATGTAATGGAGGAAGATTTAATGTTATAAATCAATCTGGAGCTTCAGCTGATTCATATTTTCATTATTAATTCATTTAGATGATTCAATTAAAAGACCTGTGTGGGATTTAGTGGCATCTAGTGGTGAACTTATAAATTGCAACTAACTGAAGACTCAAAAACATCTTTTATGATGATCTGAAGGTAAAATTAGTGTTTTCAAAGTGTTTAAAATATAAATAAATATATACATATATCAATACATATGGTTTAAATGACTGATTTCTTCAAATAGGTGAAATAATTGATCAGGTTTTACAGTTTGTGTCACTTAAAGTACTAATAAAAGCTGCTTAAGAATCATTTTAACTTACAAAATAGAGTTTTTCACATTATATTAAGACTGTTAAAGGTTGGTGATTTATTCTGTCTCCAGTCAAAGTTTATATAATATATTATATAATATAAATATACATTATATAACACAAATATAATTCATATAATACTTTTTGAACTGAACTCCTGAAAGAAAATACAAAGAAATATGTTTGAATCAAACTATAATTAGAAGTAAAATGAACCCGTCTTTCTCCCCCACCAGGGTTAGGGCTTATACAGCAACCATTAAAAGAGCGTGCAGCCTTTAGCACTCACACACTGTGATGTTGTTTCTCTCATTAAAACACATTAAAATGCACATTTATACAATAATCTTCAACATTTCCCCAGAACCATCATGACCGCCTCCACGCTGCCGCCTCTGCAGAATAATGAGAGCGTTATTCCGTCTCCAGCGGTATATATAGTCCATGATAACTCACAGTGAAATGTGCAGGGTTGCAGGATTCGCTCATTAGAGTGAACTGAGTCATGACCTTCGCCTCCGTTAATGCACACAGATATTATCACACAGCGGCGCTCTCATTCGCCTCGAGTTCCTCCAGAGGTCCAACTTAATGGAAAACTGCAGATAAAGCAGCAGCACAGAGGCAGAAGGTAGTGACAGCGTGAGGGACACCTAGTGGCAGAAAGTGTCCAATAAAACCTTTAAAACATTAAATATTTAACTTTATACGAACAAAAATCTGCAGCCACAGAATCTGTAACATATTTCTAATGTGTGTGGTGTGTGTGTGTTTTAACCTCGTCACTGTGTTTCAGTGAACTGATGTAATTAACACATTTTAAAGTGTTGACGGATGAAAGCAGAAAGTCTTTACTGTTTATAATGTGTCACACACACACACACACACACACTGATGAGGTGTTAATGTCAGCTGTGTTGTGCCTGCTCAGATTCTCACTGTTTCTCACTTATAACACCCCCCCCCGACTGCGATTGGCTCTTATTAGGAACAAATGTTCTCCTATTTACAGGTTGTGGAATAAATCATTTTAGTGTTTGAAAAGGTTCGCCTGGACCCTCCCTCCCCCTCCCTCCCTCCCTCTCCCTCCCTCTCTCTCCCTCCCTCCCTCCCTCTCCCTCCCTCCCTCTCTCCCTCCCTCCCTCTCTCCCTCCCTCTCTCTCCCTCCCTCTCCCCTCCCTCCCTCTCTCCCTCCCTCTCCTCTCTCTCTCCCTCTCTCTCTCCCTCTCTCCCTCCCTCTCTCTCTCTCCCCCTCCCTAAAATTACAAATGTATCTGGGAACAGAAGCAAGAATCTCATTTATTAAATAAAAATATAAAGTTAGATTTTATAAACTCAAATATTTGCCTCAGTTAGGTCTTTAAAGTCTGTTATCATGATATCACACTGCTGACGCGCCTTTTGATGAATGGTCAAGATTTGTTTTCACCGTGAACTTCTTTAGAGTTTATTCACCAGTTTTGAAGTCGATCTAATAGATTCTCTTGGAAGAGTTCGTTAAAATGCGACGCCTGGAAAAGGTTAAAATGTGGACATTAAATGAAAGATTCAGACTTTGTGTTGCACACCGTACGTCCTTAAATTCTGTGAATAAAACTGAATGAAATTGATATTTTCATTCCAGTTCAAGTCCAGAAAAGTACGAAGTTAAAACAATCAAAAAGAAGAAAACGTCTTTATGATTGTTAGAAATTAAAATAATAAATAACACAGACAGAATTATATATAAAAATATCATAAAACTCATCTGTGATATTCACAGGAAATAATCAGAAAGTTTTACACAATCTTAAATATAATGTGAGACATACAGAGAATACATTCAGTTTACTCTCTGAAGGAAAAAGGTTGGGAACCAGTGAACACCCCCCCCCCGCTGCCGGCTGTGAGCGGAGGGGGGAGTGGTCTGGAGGTCTGGAGGTCTGGCTCTCGGACTGACTGGTAGCTCAGCTGTTGGGGGGTTTGTTAGAGTCTCAGTGAGTCAGTGGAGCTGCTCGCACACAGACGGAGAGCGGGGGGGTAAATATAGAGCAGGAACGTCTCCAGGAGCTGATTTCATTCTCCGGCTCCGAGAGCAGCGACAGGAAACAGGAGGCGGTGCAGGAGGAACTGGACCTCACTGATGTTCTGAGGGACCGGACTCGGGACTGAACAGCTGAGAGCAGGTAGGACTCAACAATAACAACAATAACAACAATAACTGGATCAATATATAGGAATGTTGTGTTCAATATTTATGTTTATATTATATCTATAAATTAAAAAACTATTCAATGGAAAAAAATATAATTATTAACAATTCAACCAAAACCAAAGTTTAATTGTTTGAGTTTTAAGTTTTTAAATAAACTAATAATAATTAATAATGATTTACTTTATTTTATTTATTGTTTATTTGTTTAAGGACAACAACATTTATAGACTATAAGCTGATCTATGTTGCTCGTCTCTCCACGGGCCTTAAAATAAATAAATACACAATAAATACACGACTATACTAAACTTTAATATTTAAGTATTTCAAAAATAGTTCATTATCAATACATTGAAAAAACATAATAAATACCACAATTTAATTTTCAGACACTCAAATAAATATTTTTAAATTTCAGAATTTTTTGTTTCTAAAATTCAAAGATTAAAGTTTTTCTAAAGAAGAAAAGTAAATTATTTCTAATAAAATTATTTTAATCCAGTCAACAAAAAAGTTTTTAGTTAATTTAAAAACTTAAATGTTTGAATTCAAACTTACTTATTAAAGACTTTCAGTTTTAGTTTGTTGAGCTGATTTAATGTTTTTATGAGGTGATGAAAATAATTATGATAATTAAAGTTATTTCCCAGATTAAATTAATAAAAACATTAAATATTAACTGACATCAGCTTCTGGGAACATTAGAAATATTTCTTACTTCATGTTCATCAATATTCTCATATTAATATAATATATTAATATTATGTATTAAATGATATTCAGATAGTGCAGCCCCACAGTGAGATACTATATTATTATCATTTATAATACAGTATTATTAATAATAATAATTATATATATATATATATATATATATATATATATAAGTAATAACACTGAGGCCACTGTGGAACTATTGGATGTTGAAAATGTTGGTCGTTGTTCATGTGGCGTCCAGGAGGAGGCAGAAATATCTGCTGATCTAAACAATCGATCAATATTCAAACTCAGTAGCTGTGTTCACCAGGATCAATAGATTATCTGTGAATCACTGATTGTTTCTGATCGAACTGATCGGTGTGAATTGATCACTGCACAGCCGGTTGTTCACAACATCTTCACAAAGTCAGTCCTCCTCTTCCTCACACCTTCATCCTTCAGACATTAAAATGTCTGTGATGAAGAGCTGATCTACAGTTCCTCACATCCACTGGATCCACTCCATAGTTCACAGTCAGTTATAAAGTCATTATCTGATTACTTTACAGACTTTAAACATTATTAAAGATTTCACCAAGAATGAAGGAACTAATATTAGAGTAATATTTAATGTTATAAAGACTTTTCTGGATGTAAACGTTGTGTGAATGTTACTTAAACGTTCAGGAGACTATAAATGTTTATAAAAGCAGATTTACATTAAAATTACTTCAGGAACTAAAAGACATCGATGGAAGATTATTTCCTGTCTGTATTTATTTAATATTTACTAATGATTCATGTTGAGGAATATTTTTGTTACTTCATGAATAAACTCAGTTTAACATGTTAATATTAATTAATTATTAATTAATGGCACATTTATAAGGTTAATAAACTAAAGCAGAAATATTAACGCCTGCAGTATTACATCGTCTCATTAAAATATAAAGTTTATATTGAGCTTAAATGACATAAATTAGCGTTTGATTATGTAATAAACTAACTACTGTGCGCTCATTGGGAGCCTGCAGCACAGCGCCACCTGCTGGGGAGGTTTCTGTTTTTTGTTAAATACATGAAAATATTAATAAAATTACAAAAATATCCTGTGAATTTAAATGTGTGATATTAAATAATCATAAAATAACTGTTTATTTAAAGAAATGTTTCTTTTTTCACATAAAAAGACTAATATTTTTGTTTATTCACAGATTAAACTGTTAATAAAATTAGTGACAATAAACATAATTGTCAGAAATAAGTAGCCTATTTGTAGTGTTATTTTATGCTGCTGGAATATTACCTAATATGAAAGAAGAAAAAAGTAGACATTATAAAATATCATAAATCATAAATAAAAACCTTTAAAATATTATTTATATTCTAATATAATGTCCAGTGTGGCTTTAAAATCAGCACAATAACAATATGTTGAAACATGACAACTATATGAAGTAAATAAAGTCTATAAATCAGAATATTAAGTGTAATGTTGGAGCGAGGAGCAGCGACACACAGTAAACGCTCCTTACAGGAAACATTAGAGGACATTAATTTAATGTTTTACCAGAGTGCTTAAGCTCGACTGTCTCTGAGGACGAGCTGCTCTTAGTGGAGACAAACAGCTCAGTAATGGACACCAGTTTTATCTTTAACAACCATCAGCTGCACTGTGACGTTCTCCAGAGGTTGAATCCTAATGATGGTAATCCTCTGAGTCTGTAGTCTATAGCGCCACCATGAGGTTGATCTGTGTTTACTGGACTCAATCTGTACAGTGTCGGGTTATAACTGAATCTTTTACGTTATATTACAAACATTACTTTGGGGGGGGGAGGGGGGGAATCAGGTTTCAGGGTATCCAGTGAAACCACAGACACATGTACATCGACGCCACATTGGCCAGTTCTTCCAGAAAAATGCTGAGTTTTTTTGTGATTGTTGCGGGCAAAAATCCTTGATTATGCGGCACGTTTTCTTAAAAAATGCGATGGAATATGATATTTATGCAATTTTATGCAATGACATTGCAGGAATTTGCAAAACCCGCACTTTGATAAAAAGAGAAAAAAAAGTGATTCCCCCAACACCCTGTTCTCACTAGGCTACTACTACCTAGTCATTTCTTATTACTTCCTATGATAAGCATACTACATCACAGAAAGTGCTGGGAATATTTAAGTTCTCCTCTTGTTTTATTTCAGACCTTAATAAACACATGGCTCAAAGTTACAAAACATTGATGAGTCAAACAAGTTCTGTAGCTTTACAAAAGGAATGTGCTACAACTTCTGTAAAAATGAATAAATAAAATATAAAAAACTTAAATGTGTGCTTCCTGTTTTACAGAGGTAGCTATACAAAACAGACATCTTCTGTTAAACTAAGTGCTTCCAATGCACAAAGTGCAATCTCTTACTGTAACGTAAATGTACATACCACTAATAAACTTACAACTGTAAGGTTTTTGAAACTAATATGATTTAACCCACTGGTAACAAAAATTTGCAATCTTTTTGTTGGCAAATGAGACTGATTTGTTGGCTTAATGATGGCTTCATCGCAGGATTTGCAGCTTTTTGATGATGTTCACGTCGTGTAATTACGTCACTTCATAACGTTCCCATGGCAACAGGGGAAAATGGCTGCTCTTGTGTGAAGTAAACGCAACATTTTTCAACTTTCTGCTAAGATATATGTGACTTTTTTGCAACAAAAACTATGAAATCAAGCCCCGCATATTTTGCGCGGAAATCTGCAATTTATACGGCGAAAGTGCGGTGTATATGAAAGAATGCGGTGATTGGCCACTGGATCGTACACCAACGCCACCGCTAGTGGTCAACCAGTATCAGTGGCAGTCGAATTTCTCTAATAAAGAAATCCATATATGTAATGTAATCTGAATACTTGTGGATTAAAAAAATGGAAAACAGCAGGTCCTCCAATCAGAAGGTTGTCGGTTCGATCCCCGGCTCCTCTCGCTGCATGCTGAAGTGCCTTTGAGCAAAATACTGAACCCCAAACTGCTCCATCTGTGTGTGGATGTGGTGAACAATGTGAGTACAGTGTATAATATGTATCTTTGGACGTTGCTGTGGTTCAGTGTGTCCTGATGGCGGCTGTAAGAATCGAACCTGTGACTTTCAGTCTGTGTAACCTTAAATATGGAAAATGTTCCCATTTGATCAAAGTTAAACAAACAATAAACAGAGAGGCTCTTTGGCTCCACGTCCTCTGTGTACCCAGCATGCTTTGCCCTGCCCAGATCTCGTGGGAGCTCTCCGTCCATTAATAGCTTTTCTTTCCACTGTTTTTCTTTTAAAGTTATTTTGAGTGTTTTTGCTGTGAGCAGCAGGAACCAGAACCCGAGGCAGAGACCTGGATACTCAAAAACAAAAACTGCTTCATTTTATTTAAATTGAATTCAAACAAAGATATTTTCTTGTTATTGTGAAGAAAACACCTGCGTCAGACTGTTTGTTAGCCAACAGAACACTGATTAGGTCTTGATGATGATCCAGATGTGAGATTTTCCAACAAGGGATCCTTCAGGGATGTTGAAAGTCTCTATTTCACTTACAATTCTTCAGCAGAAATGATGTTTGGGTGTATCGAATTATCAACTGTTGATCGTTCTCTTACCTTCAAACCATCGTGTTTGTGGACGGTGACGTTGGTTGTTTGTTTGCACTTCAGAAGTTATCTGGACAGATTCTGATGAAATCCACGATTCCTCTGAGAATTACTTCTTTCCTTCGGGACACAAACGCAATCTTTACTCCTCCTCGGTGAAACTACTTCAGTGGCAGCCTGCGGAAGAAGCACAGCAGGTGCATTACCACCACCACCACCCTGATTCATGTAGCCCAGGAAAACCAAGACTGAATCAGATTTATCTGCGTGAATCAATGTGTTAAGTATTAGCTGGATTTGAGCAGATTTAAATGTCTGTGACGGTCAGACCTGAACAGGCTCTTTGTGTTGGCCTTCAAAAAGTCTTAGTGAGCTGTTGTTCCATCAAGAAGTCATTTTAATCAAACCATCTATATCCAACAAACAGAAACTAGTAAAAAAGACACTGCTGTCACATTATAATGTTCAGATTATGACTTTAACTGCGGAGGTTTTTAGCATTTTTGCCCTCTGACCTTCGTCCCGACTCCATCACCTCCTCCGCCATTAATACGTTTTCTGTCAGCGTCTCAACAGTCTCGCTGTGTCTTCTCGAGGAAGCCCAAGGCCAGCTGATAAGACGGGACCATGAGA